TAATCCCAGCTACTCGGGAGGCTGAGGCAGGAGAATCGCTTGAACCCAGGAGGCAGAGGTTGCAGTGAGCTGAGATTGTGCCACTGCACTCCAGCCTGGGAGAGAGAGTGAGACTCTGTCTCAAAGAAAAAAAAAAAAAGTTTAACATTGACTAAGTAGTGTTTCCTTCCTGACCTTTTGGGTGGGTACTTGTTCCAGGAGGCAGAATCTTGCCAGAATCTTAGCACGTCAGAGGTCACATCATCGTCAGTGAATCAGTGCTCTGAGCAGGAGTACCTCCTTGTTTCTTTGGCCTTTTGATTTCACCCTTCTCTCCCTCTAGTTCTTACCCTGCCTGAGTCTGCTCAGACCGGATAGGGCGGCAGCTGCAGATAAATTTCCTTTCTCCCATTCAACCCCGGATGCCTTCTGAGTCAGCAATGATATACTCACCACATACGACTATCTGGACTGTGTTGCTTTTCTTGACCACTTTGTCAATACCTGCAGTGCAGATATACGTCCCACTGTCCCCCTTTGAGGCTATCTTGGTGAAATTTTGAGTCTGAGACACAATCGTGTCTCCCTTCTGGATGGTGAAATTGGCTGGAGGTGCTCCTGGGATGGAGCAGGACAGGTTCAGTCTTTCACCTTGGTCCAGACGTGTGAAGGAAGTTTCCAGTTCGGGCTTGGAAAATAGTTCTGAAACACAGTGAGTGGGAATGGAGCGAGATGTGTCTGGCCACCACCCTAAAAGCCCCTTCCTGGAGAGGCCCTTGGGTCGGGTGCTCTTAGCAGAACCAACTTCCAACTTCCAGCAAAAAGTTTTCCTTTGCTTCTCATATACCTAATGATCACCCCAGTAAGGAATTAGGGTTCATTCTTTGCCTAGGATTCCAATGGCAGGTTTTCCTTTCTTGTTAATCCAATGTATTTCAATGACAAGGATTAGAAAAGTTTTGCCACTTGTGGTCAGGTGTGGTGGCTCACACCTGTAATCTCAGCACTTTGGGAGGCAGAGGTGGGTGGATCACCCAAGGTCAGGAGTTGAGACCAGCCTGAGCAACTTGGTGAAACCCCATCTCTAATAAAAATATAAAATTAGCCAGGCATGGTGGTGCCTGTAATCCCAGATACTCAGGAGGCTGAAGCAAGAGAATCCTTTGAACCCAGGAGGCAGAGGTTGCAGTGAGCCGAGATGGCTCCACTGCACTCCAGCCTAGGCAACAAGAGTGAAACTCCGTTTCAAAAAAAAAAAAAGAAAAGGAAAGGAAAGTTTTGCAGCTTGTAATGCAGCAAATATTAATTCATGAATTCACTCATTTATTTATTCACTCACTCATTTCACCCCACAAGTATTTATTGCAGGTTCTCTCTGTGGTGGGCCTCTTGCTAGAGTAGCAGTGAATAAGAAATAGTCTCTGACTTCAAAGTGCTTACATTTAGTGGTTGATTTAGATGCACTGTTTGTGGCAGAGCCCATAGAAAAACCACTGAACTGGCAGGGCGTGGTGGCTCATGCCTATAATCCCAGCATTTTGGGAGGCTGTGGCGGGCGGATCACAAGGTCAGGAGATCAAGACGAGCCTGGCCAACGTGGTGAAATCCCGTCTCTACTAAAAACACAAAAAGTATCTAGGTGTGGTGGCAGGGGCCTATAATCCCAGCTACTCAGGAGGCTGAGGCAGGAGAATCGCTTGAACCCGGGAGGTGGAGGTTGCAGTGAGCCGAGATCGCGCCACCTCACTCCAGCCTGGGCAACAAGAACAAAACTCAGTCTCAAAAAAACAGAAAAGAAAAGAAAAAACACTGAACGTAGCCTTGGGGAATCAGGGAAAGGCCTCTTGGAGAAAGTTATCCAGGGAAAGTGTCTGAGACAGAATGTCTCAGTCCATCTGGGCTTCCATCACAAAATGCTGTAGACGGGCCTATTTATGTCTATGAATTCTTCACAGGTAAAACCGAGTCTTAGGTAGCCCTTTATCCCCAGTTAGTTGCCCAGCATACAGAAAATGCTCAATACGTGTTGAACTTGTACTTTCCTTTAATGAGATAATATAAATTGTATCAGTAAAAAAATACCATGAGTCATCAAAATGTAAGTCATAACCAATATTTACTAAATTGCTAACACACACTATAGACCAGCAGGACCCAATGTATATGCCAATATCCCAGTTGGGTAGTTGGCAGCCTACCTATGGTGCTGGGGACTGTTGCTGACACTGCACACTCAATGCTTGTCACATAGGAGGCTTTTAGTAAATAAGAGAACAAATGAATGAATGAATGTATGAACGCAGACACACGAGAACACCTTCACCATGCAATCAAGAAGTGCTGACTCTCTCTGTCCCCTGAAACATTGTCATCCAACACTCATTCCCTCATCCAACAAATATGTATTGACTTCCTACTGTGTGCCAGGCACTGTTCTAGGTGTTAAGGATGTAGCACTGAACAAAATAATGTTCCTGCTCTCAGCGGCTTACATTCTAGTGACTGCATACACATAATAAACAAGAAAGGTAGAGTATGTTTTTGGAAAAACATACTCTACCCTTTTTGGAAAAAAAGAAAAGAAAATGTATATAAACCCATCATACAGTGTTTGACGAAGGGTAATTGTTCTTCTTTTTTTCTTTTTCTTTTTTTTTTTTTTTTTGAGACAGAGTCTCACTCTGTGGCCCAGGCTGGAGTACAGTGGCACAATCTCAGCTCACAGCAGCCTCTGCCTCCCAGGTTCAAGAGATTCTTGTGCCTCAGCCTACCGAGTAGGTGAGATTACAGGCATGCTGCCATGCCCAGCTAATTTTTGTATTTTTAGTAGAGATGGGGTTTTACCATATTGGCCAGGCTGGTCTCGAACTCCTGGCCTCAAGTGATCTGCCCACCTTGACCTCCCAAGTCCTGGGATTACAGACGTGAGCCACCATGCCCAACCATGTTATCATTATTTTTGAGTTTACTAATGCTTTCTCATTTGTGGCCCTATCACAGGACCCATGTCTGGGATCTAGCATAGTGCTTGTCACAGGGGATAGAGAAATATGAGAGAGGAAAGACAACATTAACCAGTATTCATAGAGTCTTACTCTGTACAAGTCTCTCAGCTCATGCTTACAGCATAGTTATCTCATTATAGCAGTCCTAAAAGGTGAGTGCGGTCATCATCACCATCTCACAGAGCTGCGGCACGTTCAATAACTCACCCAAGGTCACAGAAGCAGTGAGCGGCAGGGTTGAGTTTTGGTGCTGCAGCCTGTACCCTCAACAAGCACAGTGGACTGTTAACTTGCTCTGCACTGGCTTCTTCCCACGAGCACCAAAGCCCCACCTGAGCACATCCATTCAGATAAGCAGGGGCAGAAAATGTATCAGCTCTCTTTGGCCATGCTGGATTGCAGCATATTGGCTCCTTGAGCCCACCATATGCCAACACCCTCCCGCAGCGGCAGCCCTACCTGTTACGTTGACGATGATGCTGCTGACCTTGGATATGCGGCTGGACTCCACTTTGCATGTGTAGTTGCCATTGTGCTCCACCATGGCCATGACTGAGTACACAGCCTCGTTGCCGTGTCTGCTGTGGGCCACAATCGCCTTGTCCTTCTGAATTATGATTTCTGGAAACTCCTGGGCCAGGTGAGTCACTTGAATGGTGCACTTAATGTGGAGTTGAGCTCCTTCTGTGATCATTCCAGTGGGGCTGATGTGGAACTTGGGTGTAGAGAAGGATTCTGCAAGAGACGAAGGCAACCCGGTTGGACTCAGGTGCAAACCTGGGCAAGAGGAACCTCTTCTGCTCTTTTTGCTGCTTCCCCTTTTCCAACTTCTATTGTTCCTAACTAACTTTAAAAATTCAACCTTTCCTCTCTAAAACTTTTGCCTGGGCTGCTCTCATACCCCCTCCCTTCTCACTCACTCTTGCATCTTCAGGCTTCTTCACTGCAAGTCTCTGGCTTTCTGAAGCTTCCCAAAGGCCAAACACCTTCTCTAGATCTCGCCTGCAGAACCTTCTTCGGATGACTTCAGAGATAACCACTGTATTTAGAAATGATCTTCCTCCTGCCCACTACGAATTTTCTAGGCTCTTGTCAGCACTTCATGGAAGCTTGGCATTTCAGCATGAAGATACTATAGCTTAAAAAAGTTCAGCTATGTGAAATGGGCTGTTCCATGGAAATGTGTATTTAAATAATCGCATGCCTCCAAAAAAGTGGCTTCTAGTCTTTTCTATTTCATTTTTTAAAATCCTGGCCATCATTCACTAAACTGATTTCATGACTCACACAGTTGAAAAACAATTTTGCCTGGGCGTGGGGTCTTACGCCTGTAATCCTAACACTTAGGAAGCCCAGGAGTTCTAGAACAGCCTCTGGGCAACATAGTGAGACCTTATCTCTATGAAAAAAGAAAAATAATTTTAATCAAGTATAGGTCAGATACCAACCAGGGCATAGGATCATCAGGGAAGTGGGGATAGGTCCTAGGCTTTTGTTTCCACTTACAACAAAAAAACAAGCCCAGGCCATAAACTGGAATATATACACAGATTCCAACTGTGTAAAATATAGAGTAGGGATATTTAAAAAATGCTAATAGTGAATTTAGAGTAATCTAATACTTTAATATTCATTAGTGATTTTTAACATTATAAAGTCAATTCATAATAAGAAGTTATCATAAAATAATAGCATATGACTTTTCAAGTAAAAGTGAAAAAGGGGAAGGCATCCTTTACATGTTTTAGGACTCTCAAATTTTAGGTCTTCAGGGGAACTAGCTGAAGGGTGTTTTTCTTTCACCCAGATCAACTCCAGATGCACCAGATATGTAAATGCAGGGGAAAAAGAAGTGAAACCACAGCACAGGAAAAGAAAACATAGATGCGTTTTTTTCCTTTAATAATCTTGACATGCGAAGTATGTATGTCAAGACTTTTAAGTATGAATCACAAAACTGAGGCGCCATAAAGAAACAAAACAGGTAAGTTTGACTAACTGAAGATTAAAAACTTCAGCACGGAAAACTTATCATAAAACTAAAAGAAAAATGACCAACTAGAGAAAATATTTGCATAACATCACTGACAAATAACTAATTAATTTATAAAAGACTCAGCTGGGGGCGGAGGCTCATGCCTGCAACTCCAGCACTTTGGGAAGCTGAGGCAGGAGAATTGCCTGAGCTAAGGAGTTTAAGACCAGCCTAGGAAACATGGTGAGACCTTCCATCTCAAAAAAACATATTACAAAATATTTTTTAAAATAAAATAAAGGTGGCAGTCGCAGTGGTTCACACCTGTAATCCCAGAACTTTGAAAGGCCGAGGTGGATGGATCACGAGGTCAGGAGTTTAAGACCAGCCTGGCCAAGATGGTGAAACTCTGTCTCTACTAAAAATACAAAAATTAGCTGGGCATGGTGGCAGCCCCCTGTAATCCCAGCTACTCGGGAGGCTGAGGCAGGAGAATCACTCGAACCTGGTGGGCAGAGGTTGCAGTGAGCCGAGATCGTGCCACTGCACCCCAGCCTGGGCGACAGAGTGAGACTTCATCTCAAAAAAATAAATAAATACAAATAAAAATAAAGGGCTTGAACAAATCCAATCAGGAACAATAAAAATGATTTTAGTCAAATTTACCTATCCTGTTTCTTTATGGCACTGGAGTTTTGTGATTCATAATAAAAATGACAAGGCATATATGAATAGGCGGTTTACAGGAAAAAAATGTAATAGATGAATAAACAAACTCAACCTCACTAAAAACTAAAGAAATACAAATCACCACAACAGTTATATATATCACTATACCTCAACTAGATTGTCAAAAGTAATAAAACATTGAAATACTCTGTTGGGACCAGGCGCAGTGGCTCATGCCGGCAATCCTAGCACTTTGGGAGGCCAAGATGGGAGGATCACTGGAGGCCAGGAGTTCGAGAACAGCCTGGTCAACATAGCAAGACCCTAATCTCTATCTAAAAAGGAAAGAAAGAAAGAAAGAAAGAAAGAAAGAAAGAAAGAAAGAAAGAAAGAAAGAAAGAAAGAAAGAAAGAAAGAAAGAAAGAAAG